AATATCGAGTGAGCCGATGGCTCACATATCAGATATTAAACTGATAAGAACAGATACTACACTTGATCTTAGCCAAAAGGCCGAGAAAGGTATGCCTTATCTAAATTTGAGCCTTTGCTGTTATAGTGTATCCCCTCTCTCTACTTTCTACTCTTCAAGCAATGTGGTACTCATCTAATTGAATTTATTTCAGCTTTCATATGCTACCAGTTCTAAAAGCTTTAGTATAACACCCAAATTATGGATTCATCATGTTCAAGTTAAAAAAAAAAAAAAAACTGCCTTCCTACAAATTATTCAGTCCCTTTTAATGGTATAGCCAAGAATTGATTTTATCTACAAATTATTTCAGTCCCATTTCTAGGACTTCCTTGTGGTGATGTATCTAACTGAAAGTGCGTATGCATCTTAAAAATAAACCAGGAAACTTGTTTATGCTCTTCGTTTTTGGACTCAATTTGCGGTCTACAAACCGACCCAAACTTTAATGGGCATCGTCTTTCTAATGGTCATAGAAACTTTTTATTGTGATATCGTTCTGTTTGCTCCACGTCTGCGTACCTTTCATATTGTTCAGTTATTTTCAAAGTATACGACTTGGATTACAACGGTAAGGTGACTTTTACAGATGGATGTACAAGTCTCAATTGGAAGAATGGAGGGGATCCACTGTTGTTGCTTCTTCCTTTGAAACTATCAGTTTTGTGCATTGAAGATACGGACACCATGCCAGGTTACCAAGAGGTTTGGGCCTTGCTAGTTTAACCGAGTACTAGCAACACCTGACTTGTTTATGTGAATGGAATCGACTAAAGGCCTAAGGGTATATTAACCGAGTCTACTTCAAAAAAATCTACGATAGAAAATTAAGGTGGCCTATTCCAAAGTACCACTACTTCAGAAGATTGGATAAAAGGAGCATATTGTGAGTTTGGACATATAATATATCAAGTTTTTCAAATGTCATCATAAACTACATCGTAAATTTTTAACTAGGATTGGAGGGGTGCGCCAAACCAAGGCAATAGTGCAACACCAGCCTTCTACATGCTCACTTTTCCATCCCCAGGCATTTCTTAGAATTCCATGAAAAAGCTTATTTACCAGTTCATCAGATTCTAGTTAACACCCTTGTGCATATCCCGAATTGTGGATGGATTAATGAAAGCTGCTTTTGTACAATCTATTTCATCCCTTTTTGATGATACATTAGAATCAGCATTCTATCTGTGACGGGCGAAATATACCTTTGAAGCTCCAAACTTTAATTTGTAAAGCTACAATCTTTAATTTGTAAAGGGCTTAATATAGCTGGCAAAATGATTTTTAACTAAGATTGGAGGGGTGAGCCTGGCCAAGGCAATAGTGCAACACCAAGGCGACTCTCAAAGACCCCAATAGCAAGCTATTGTGACGAGTCT